TTTCCTGCAGGTTCCTGACTTGACCCCTCTCGATTTGAACATAAAGTTTCACAATTTAGCCAAACTCACGGTGAAAGGTTTTTGCCGTTTCATCTCATATTTCGTGGAGAAGGCTAACATGCTTGAAGTCCTTAATGTTAGTTCGATTGTTTTGTCCGAATTTTCAACTTGTATGGTTATATGTGATTGACGGCCCGGCCTTGTTCTGCATTTGTTTTCTTTTTGTTTCATCATCAGGTCATACAATTTCAGAAACCGGAATGGAAGATGCAACCTGTCCAGTTGCCTAAACATCTGTTGGCTAATTCAAATATGAAGCTTCACAATTTAACAAAACTCGAACTGGACGTTGATTGGTATTTCCTCACATATTTCCTAGAGAAAGCTGATAAGCTTAAAGTCCTTACTATCCGTAAGGTAAGCATTTCCTTTTTATTCATCTCCTGTCAGATTTTTATATTTGTTCACATTTCCATGTTTACCTTTCTGTTTCATTGTCAGGCTTATAATAATCGAAAGCGCTGGTTGGCGGCTCCCCTCCAAGTGCCTAATTGCCTGTCGTCACATCTTAAAATAGTAACAATTCATGAATCTATATATATTGAAAAAGAGAGGTCAATAAATCATTTGTGGAAACTTTCAAAAAAAGTTTAGTCAACCCATTTGACTTCCTAATTAAGGAAATTCTCAAATTTGATTGATATTAAGTTACGGATTCTGTTTCCATATTTCAAGGGCCCATTATTATTTAGTGAAGCTGAAATTCTAAAATTAATTCACATGTAAATGGGTTGGTTTTGGACTCTATTGATATTTAGTTTTAACAAACTAATTCCATATTTTACGGGCCCGGAAATGATTTTTAAAAAGTTGAAATGTAAATGATTTTTGGACTATTTAGTTTGATTGATGAAGTTGAAATTCAAGTACATATCATTTCCGGTCCCATTTTTTCTTTTACAATTTTGAGCGAAATATTTAAAATATAATCAGTTTTTATTTCCTACTTTACGTTTCTAAATAAAATATGTGACAATTTAAACATATAAAATATCAAAATGTTAATACAAAACAAAAATTAAGAACGTCAACTAACAAAAATTATTTATTTTTTGATTTTATTTTTATTTTAAATCATTCCAAAACAGAATCAGGCAAAAAACAGAATAGTGGAATCATTTCAGTAAAACAATTTGGCCGGATTTTGTTTCCAATTATTCTGGAACCACCGGATTTTCTCAACTATGAAATCATAGGAATCCCAAATTTTTAGGTAACAAATTTAGAGATTTTTTTGGATATATTCCAACTTATCTTAACATCTATATCATTATATTACTGACAAAGCTCTTAATTATCTTTTAAAAAAACCACGTTTTTCCTTTTCCTTTTCTCCCAGCGGCTGCCATTGATGGCGTCCACGGCAAGAAGCTACTCAGTTTTCTGACGGCGGCTTGCGACAGGCGAGGAGCAAACGATGAGACCAACATGAAACCGGCACATAAGTCCAGTCTTCTACACGTATTGAAGCCTGCCGTGCAGAGCACGCCACCGGCCGTGGCAGGCTTGGAGTTCAGGCAGGACAGCATGAGGCGGAGAAATATAAATGCAACATATGAAACATGTTGTTTCATCAAAGGTATGTGATTGTGTGATTGTTGGGGTGAAGTGATGAAATATGATGGATGGAGTGTTGTTTGTTGGGTTATATGAGTTTTTCTTGCTGCATGATTCATTCATCTTATTAATGGTTTAAGAACAATTTACTATTCGAACCAGTTATTTCTTTTGTCTTGAGTTGTAGGGCTCATCTTTTTGAGATTAGTATTACTTTCTTTAGACTATTTAGAACTTACACTGGTTTTTCTACCTTTTTTTTTTTTTTT